TGAAGGTAGTACGTGCGGGCACTTGGTATGATGGGGCCATGAGTGCTATGAGTCGCCTGAACCCTGGCCGCTCAACTAAGGAGAAGGGCTGGTCATCCACAGCAAGCATCTCCCCAATGCTTTGGGTGATCTCGCTTGCCTTTGCAATGCGCCCCGCTTTCTGTCCGCCTTTTCCCCACTGTTCTAGGGTGACCTGCCTCTGGTTTGGGGGAGTGGGGGCTTTGGAGTGAGAGGAGGACTTCTTTTTGGGCACGCTCCCACTGGTGCCAGGCTGAGGAGCAAGGGCAAGGGGGTGGTGCCTGCGGAGATGCATCAGCATCCCCGTGGTGCTCATGTGTTTTGATCCCTTACCCCGGCTGGTTCTGGTTCGGCAGTGCAGGCAGATAGCATATGTGGGATCATCTGCCAACTCAAAATGGTTCCAGACCACACTACCCGCTCGCTTCTGAGGTGCGGGTACATGTGCGGATGCTGCCTTTTCCACCTCCTCAGCAGGCCGAGGCACAGCAACAGGAGGAGTGGATTCAGCTGAAGCGCTTCCCTCCGCAACCTTTACCTCAACCTCCTCTGAAGTGCCTTCTGGGGAAGGAGACCTGGCCCTAGGGGAAACTTGAGAGGTGTGGAGCACAAACTCAGATGATTCCCCCTCCTTCCCCAGAATTTCTCTTGCTGTGGCACTCAGATCCAGATCTAGCTCTTCCTCTGGCAATGGAACGCTCAGCATGGGAAGTGAAACAGGGGTTGAGGAGACTGTCATGCTGGTGCTGCTGCTTGTTGTCATGGTGGTGGTGGCGGGGATTATGGCTGGTGCTCTTGGAGGGGATGCGGACTCATGCACAGGCAGTGGCACTGTGTCCCTCTCCTTGCTGCCTGTAGAATTGGAAGACTCATGCCTGCTTGTTGTAGCAAAGAGGCTGCATCTCAGTTTGGGGGGGATGGGACTTACAGCTCTCCCTCTACCCTCTCTTCCACCATTCCATGAAGGCTTGCCAGCTGCCTTTCGGGCATGCTTCGTGGTGTGTTTCATAGCGTCTTTGGCGTGGTATGCTGGAAAATCTGTGCTCTCTTCTGTAATGTAATCTGATTTATGTAATATATGTAGATAATTGTATATGTATGTGTATTCATGTAATGCATGCATGTATTTATGTAATAAATAAAAAATATAAATATTGTGTGTTCCCGAATAAATTCTATATCATAATATTCAATATATGCTGTGCTTCCCTGCACAGTGAATGGAATGCACACTGTGAGAGAAAGCACAGATTTCTTTTCAGGGGGAAAAGAATCAAAATAGACTAACAAAAACAAAAAGAAGATTTTGGGGGAGGAATAAATTGAAAGGAATGAAAGACTGTAATAATAAAATAAAAGGGTATAGAAAGCAAAAGATACTGATGAATCCCACTTGCTATGGACAGGCTAGCAAGCAGGAAACGATAGTCTTTGTTGTTTGACACTGTTGAGCTGCTGGAAGACAGCTCAGTAACTGACCGCAAGGCAGAAAGCAGCTCAATTCAAACAATCCTGCTCTGTATGCTGTTTTTCCATCCCTCCCACAGAGCACTGGGATTGGAAAAGACCTCAGGGAAGGATCACAGTCGCTGGGCAGCTACACAGTCAATATGAGAGCAGTCCCTTCCCCACAACTTCCCCCTCCCTCTCCTTACTTTCTGTTTCC